GAAAAATACCATATGATATCACTTATACGTGGAATCTAAAAAAAAAAAAACACAAGTGAACCTATTTACAAAACAGAGACAGACTCACAGACATAGAAAACAAATTTATGGTTACCAAGAGGGGAAAAGGGGTGGGGAGGGATAAATTGGGAATTCAGGATTTATAGATGCTAACTACTGTATACAAAATAGATAAACAACAAGATCCTGCTGTGTAGCACAGGGAACTATATTCAATACCTTGTAACAGTCTGTAATGAAAAAGAACGTGAAAAGGAATATATATGTACAAATGAATGACTATGCTATATACTAGAAATTAACACAACATTGTAAATCAACTATAATTTAATCAAAAATTCAAAATTCAAAACTTAAAACTAAAAAAAAAAAGAAGAGAGTGGGTTCTGTTTATTCACCTGCAAGATTTCCAGAAACCAAGGTGGCCACGATGGGCATGCGTGTGTGAGCATGGGTCTGGGCAAGTCCTTGGAAAAGCAGCCCGTCCTTTGCCATTGTGTAGATCAACTGAGGTATGAAAAACATGACACCCAGGAGGCTAAAGAGAAAATGGAAGCAAGTGTGGGGATTTATAGCAGAAGGACAGCCTGAGGCTTCTGTTTCCTAGTCTACGTGGGGTAAGTTGTCTTTACTTGTCTCCAAATCCCAAGAGCAGGGACACTTGAGAATCTAAGGGGAAAGCTCTGACACTGACCTGCGTGCAAGTGCACAGAGGGTGCCGACAGCCACCACATGGCCGGCAGGAGCCCACCCAACGTGGAGAAGAGCCTGCGGCAAGGGGCTCTCGGGGTCAATCTGGTAGTATGGCACCATGAGGGTGAGTGACACTGAGACGCCAAAATACGCCAAAAAGCAGATGAAGATAGAGATCATGATGCTCAAGGGGATGGAGCGCTGAGGATTCTGGGCTTCCTCCCCTGCAGGATGGGTGGAAATATTAGGTCAGGAAAATATCTCGGAGTGAAAGCACAAAATCCCCTTCCCTCTTGAACCTCTAAAAACAGAATAACCTTCTACCAACACCCATGCCCAAGAGCAGCCCCAATTGTACCCAAACCTCTGATGGGACACACAGCGACTGTGTTACCTTTAGTGGCAATATCTTCAAAGCCAACAAATGCGTAGAAACATGTAGCTGCTCCTTGGAGAATCCCATCAAAGCCAAAAGGCACAAACCCTCCAGAACCCAGAGGGCCCAAGCTGCGGTCAGGGGAGGAAAGAGAAGAACGTGGGTGAGGTGTGTTCAGTGATCTCTGCCGGACTCCTCAGCTGATACCATGAGTCCTGAGCTCCAGGAGCCCCATCATCTGGAGCCACCAGCCCAGATCTGTTTAGTCCCCACCATACTTCTAGCTCTGCCCCAACACACACATCACCATGGCCAGGAGCACCCTCCTAACCTGTAGGTGCCACTGGGTCCAGGTGCTGTCAAGTTATATTCCTGCTCCATGAGCTGCCAGTTGTGCAGGTCTCCCTTAATGAAGCCAGAGAGGATGATGAAGCCGAGAACCAAAAGGTTCAGGCCTGTGAACACTTTGGTAACCAGGGCCGACTCTCGAGCTCCCAGAACCAGCGCTCCTGTGGGAAAGATGGGACATGAAACTTCCAAAATAACTAACTGCATAGAGACTAGTGGTGGTCAGGGGCTGGGAACGGGGGACAGGGGTGGGGGGGCAGTGACTTCTCAGTGGAAATGAGGTTCCAGTTGCCCAACATTGTCAATGTCCTAAATGCTACTGAATTGCACGCTTTAAGATGTTTAATTTGTTATTGTGGCAATCATTTGATAGACAATATATCTGTCTGTCAAATCGTCATATTGTACATCTTAAACTTATACAATTATAATTATAATTAATCAATTATATCTCAATAAAGCTAGGGGGAAACAAAATGGTTAATTTTATGCTATGTGGATTTCTTCTCAATTAAAAAAACTTTGGTCTCAGTACAGAGGAAGACAGTTGTTGGTCAAACTAGATGAACCTCAGCTGGGGGTGATTTTGTCCCCGAAGGGACATTTGGCAATGTCTGGAGACACTGTGTCACAATTTGGGGGCTGGAGGTCAATGGTATCTAGTGAATAAAATCCAAGGATGCTATACGTTGGACAATGATTAAAATAAAAAAACCCTACAATGTGCAGGACAGCTCCCCACAACAGAGAATGGTCCAGCCTAAAAGGTCAACAGTGCCAAGAGTGGGGAACAGTGGTCTGTGTCTTGCCTTCCTGCGTTAAAACTGCCAACCCTTCTTTCCAGTTTGAATCCCCCCTGCCATTCTGCCACCAAAGCCCTTTCCCACTCCAGCTTCCCCCTGCACCCCACTCTTCCTTTCCCGCCTCTGACCCCTCCTTACCAGTCATCAGCAGCACCAGGCCCAGCACCACAAAGTCTGGGTACACGGCCAGGAAAGAGGGCATATGAGGAGAGAACGTTTCCTGCAGGCCCTGAGAGATGTGGTTCCCAATCAGGCTGTCAAAGGTGTAGCTCCAGGCCCTGGCCACACTTGCTACGGCTGCAGTGGCAGAAGAAGGAACATTCAGTGGCAAACATGAATTGAACCCCTACTATGGGCCTTGGGATGTGTTTTGAGATGGGAAATACAAAATACCTAATTCATTTCATGAGTAGATTCAGATAATTCATGAAATAGGTCAGCTATATTAGGAGAGCGATGTTATGCAAGAAAATAAGAAAGTGGGAGCAAGAAGTCTAGGAGATGAGGGCTGAAATTTAAATCGAGTGTTAAGGAAACTCCACAAATGCAACAGCTGAGCAAAGCCTTCAAAACGGTGAGGGGATGAGCTGTGGGACGTGTCTCCCTGTCACCCACTTCCCACAGTTCCCACTCCCTCTCTGTTCTTGGTCCCATCACTGAGGGAAAGCAGGAGAGAGCTGAGTAGAAAAAAGTTGTGGCGTTTTCTTGATACTATTACCTTCTTCTCCCACAAAGTGGATAACAGATTTCTTATGAATGAGTGAAGACTCAAATTCCCACTACTACCTTCCTGATCTTAAGCCCCACACCTTCCCTCACCCCATCATCTCACCAATGACTAAGGACAGTATGAGGTTCCAGCCAGTGATGTAGGCACACAGTTCTCCCACTGTGACATAGCTGTAGAGGTACGCAGACCCAGAACGTGGTACCCGGGCCCCAAACTCCGCATAGCAGAGCCCAGACAACACAGAAGACAGGGCGGCCACCAGGAAGCAGACGACAATTGCTGGTCCAGCTATGTGCTTGGCCACTCCACCAACCAGGATGTAGATGCCAGCCCCCAGGGTGTTGCCCACACCCAAGGCCACCAGGTTT